GGCCAAAGGGTCAAAGAGTAAGGAGCAGTAATGGTATTATCCTTATCAAACACGACCCCTTTGAAACCCCTTCTTCGCAGCTCACCCCAATCAATGTACCTCAAGTCCAGAACAGAAACATGAGGCAGTGCTAATTTGGGGTCTTTCACAAACAAAAACGTCGAACAAATGGCCTCCAAGTTTATTCTCTGCCCTAACGCCGCTTTCACATCTGCCCACCACATGTTTGTGAAATGTACCCGCCTTTCCTCGGCGCTGCCGAACCCCTTTTGCTCGTCTTCTTGTGGAAGCTTTTGGTATCTGCGTTCTGGGTGTTGATTATTGGGGTCTTTGTAATCAGTAGAGAGAAGAAAATGAAGAAACAGAGAGTGGCTCTGGCTCTGATTTGAATTGGAATTGACGAAACTCTGGGGATTTCTCAGAGTCAGAGCGCAGAAATCTCTTATTGGGATTTTGCTGTGAGTAGTAGAAAGTGATAGAGTGGTAAGATTTCTCTGGTGATGGGCATTGCTATGAAAATTCAGAGGCTTTTGATGGAGGGAACAACAACTCGGAAGAGAAGCAGCCGCAGGAGCTGCAGGCATTTTTAATTTTATCTCAGACTAGGCGGCTTTATTCCTGCAAATAATGGACTTCCAAATTTCAAGTTAATTTTAGTTAAATTTAGAGCTTGTGCCATCCTTGAAATCTAACATGGTAACGTAATAAGACCTACTTTTTAATCTATTCCTCGAGAAATGAGAATCCATTATACATTTTATCAAAAAGAATCCATTATACACGGCAAAATTTCGGTTTTGCTAAAACTGATCTACATCCCTCGTAAAATGAGCTCAAATTTTGGTCTAATCATAAACCATTCAAGGGAGTTTTTATAAATGCTTTTAACCATGAGGCTAGTTGTTCTATGGACTTCATTTACATTTTTTTTTAAAAAAATCTCAATTATCCGATTAAATTTACATAAATTTTATAATTATCTGGTGGGATCATGCTGGAAGAAAAATTTTAACAGCGAAACTAACTTTTCTTATTTACACAAAAATTAAATACTAATAAACAATAGTTAACATTATATCTTAACTTAAAATCTTAAGAGTCAATTTTATAAGTCATTTCATTTTATTCTATACTATTCACCAAGCTCAATTGTTCTTGACGTGAGAATACTAATGTTTTTTATTTTCTTCAGATGGGAAAATACATGTCCCTTTAACTCACTTGACATAAAACTTGTTTGAAAGGTGTCAGTTTAGAACATCAATGATGGAAATCACATCCAAACCTCTCTTGTCAATACATCTAGCCTCCAGTTGAACTCGCAAGTAATCTTTATATTTGATTCTCTTGAACAATGGCTTTTCCTTCTCTAATAGCTCAGTTGCAGGCCCTATTTCTTTCTCAGGTGCTGGTTCATTCTTCAGTACAAGACTAAGCCTCGTGTCTCTTTCATTCACCACTACTCTGTGCCACACACTCTTGTACAGCTTGTTACTCACAATCTGCTCAATTTCGAAACACATATCAGACAAGTTTATCAGAACCATCGCAAATAGAAGAAACTGGCTGGTTAAGGTAAGTATATATGATTAATTAAGGAGGGAAAGTTGATGAGTGATCTCAAGTTGATCTCCAATGTTGGCAAGTAAGCAATAAGGCAAAGGAGAATTCACATTAACCCATTTATGATGCTGCTTCACTTGAAGGCCTTTGATTCCATTTTCAATGAAGACAGTTAGTAAGCGATTGTCAGTAAGGTATGGTTGAGGACATGGAGGGTATAAGTTCACTTGACATTTCTAATGCCCTGAATCAAAAGCTTTGGACTCTATAATGGCCTTGGCTTGTAATCCTAAACTCTGATATTCCTTCCAGCAAAGTCCTTGCCACATTTCTTATTCTCTTGTTGTATTCAAATGCTACCTCCCTGCAAAATAAGAATGAAAAATGTTGTATTTTTTAAAGCCCCATAGTTTTTATCAGGCTTCTATATTTTTCTTTTATTTAGAAGGGTAGATACTAATAGCTTGAGATTACACGCGGCATGATCAAAATTGCGACCTCTCATTTATAAAAGAGTTTTCATGTCATTAGACTATAGGGCTATTGACAACTTTCTACATTATTGAATGAGAGCATAAATGTGACTACCTAGATTTAACACTACTTAATTCAAAGTCTTGGAACGTCAAATGTTTGGTCTATTTCTGCTAATATGAGAGGCTTCAATTTCCCCATATATATATAGATATCAACTCATTCTTGGATGCTTAAAAAAATAAAAAAAAGATAGAGGAAGAGAAAGACGAGAGAAATTGAAATTGCGCGTACTTGAAATGAGGGGGCTTGTGGGGGAAATGGAATTCAGGAAAAGTAGCAAGTTTTAGATAATCTCTCCAGTAATGAACCTTCTCTCCATAAGGAAGGGAACTGGTACCAAACCTAACGGGTGTGATGAGTTCTTGATTGAAAAATTCCATCTTTTCCTCAAGAGGCAAATCGTGAAACTCCAGAGACTTGTTTATCACCTCCTCCATCGGTTTCTCTGAAATCCCATGATTTGTAATCTGAAAGTGACACATCCAAAAACAAAGTCGACCAGAAAAGCAATTCTAGATACTATAGAGGCTTCAACGAAATATTCTCAAACACTTTAATTGCCATGAAGAAGCCCCATTCTCTGCATGCATCACCTAGCTGTCGAACTGCGTCGGCATGGATTTGAGGATCCGGGGAGGTGAGGAGGGAGAAATCGAGGACGGGGATGGAAGCAGCAAGGTCATCACCTGCAACATCATCACGACAAGGTTCAGGGAGAGAGTATCATGTGGTCGGGATGGGAACGTCGCCGTTTGATTCAATGAAGGCCTGGATAGTTATAACAGTATCATCAGAAGCATGAAGCTTTTGAGGTTCTGATGAGGAGGAAATAGTAACAGGTGAAGCCATGGAAACATGAGAGTTGAAGATACTGTGAATAGAAATAAAGAAAGAGTATTGCAGGAACAATATAATATAGTGAGGTAGGGGACGAGATACTCGGTAATAATTAATGATAATTGACAGGTGTGGTTAATGATACATTCAAGATTAGGATCCATTTATATTCTATACAATCATTGATTGAGATCATAAGTTGTTAAGCTCCCTAGCTAGTGATGCTGCTGTGATATGGCCATATGGGTGATCTGATCACTCTCTAATAGTGAGATATTTGGTTTTCTGCATAATTTGGTAGACAGAACTTTCAATAATTGAGAACAGAGACAATACTTTTCAGTTGATTGATTCATTTTACTTTTATTATATGATATATCTTTGCATGGTATATGTATCTCACAGATATCGATATTTCCAGTTTGGGAAATTCACTATGTAGTCATATGTATGAATAGGACAATATGAAATCTTATATTAAGGAGAGGGGATAGTATAATTTTTCCGGTGTAAACATACATAAAGAGACAAAGTGACGAGAAAAATTGAAGAGGCACGACAATGTCTCTGGCTTGGTAAACTAGGATTGAATAAGAATGGTAATCTTGTTTCAAAGTACGGTTCGTGTTTTAATTTCCAATCTTCATTCCATTTCCTAATGTTGTAAAAAAAAAATTCCTGTACTACCTCTGTTCTTTATTCTTTATTAATATAAGAGTTAGATTAAGATTTAATTTGGTCCTAAATATAAAGTCATAATCTATTTTGTTTCCAACATTCATCCGTTTTATCCTTAAATAATTCTCAGTGATTGCAGATATTAAGGAGTTTTCATCAAAGAATATTTTCAATACATATGATTAATAGAAATATTTTAGGAAGAACAACATTTATTTATTACAAATAACTAATTTTCTTAATATTCGTAAAGTAGTTATCTAATTCGTATATTGAGAACCAAAGGTAGTATTGTTAAGGTATGATTGCCACATTAACATCTGTCAGTTATATTTGTGTAAACATCTTTTCAAATAAAATTCCACATGATAGTGTTTAGATTTGTGTATGTTCCTATATATAATAATCACAAAATTGAAAGTGAAAATTATCAGAGCGAGTGCTATCATATATATGTGACATGAAAAACTTCTCAACACAGGCTTCTTAGTTGTTATCAGTTGGAGAAAATACCATGCGCTAACGACTAGTATCACAAAATCCTATACCCTCACTATCCTCAGAATCTAAGATAATGAAAGGACATTCATCAATAGGAAACATTAGAGCTCTTAGCCAGATGTTGTAACAGCAGCAAAGCAACCTAGCTATTCCCTGAAGCAAAATATGCATGAGACCTGAATTTGAGACAATCTCACCAATTCGTCATACTCGCGTGTTGCTGTGCATATGATTTGAGCCAAGTTTGTTTTTTAATGTTTATTATGCTTAATAGCTGAGAGATTATATTATTTGATTAAGTAACCTACCAAGGCATGACTCTCTGTTATTTCAAACAGTACATACCACAATGGAACAGAGCACCTCAAGTGTCAAAACAGAATGTTACTATTAGATTGTTTGATATTTGATATTTGATTTGATTCACTATGTTGCAAGTTTCAAGTTTTGATACCTGAAATCTTTAAATACAGAGACATATAATATCTTTTTACTGTGTACATTCATATATCACATGGAACACCATTCATCAAAAGGCTTCTTAACAACATGAGACACACATAATTGTTATTACAACATGTTCTCTTCTCATAATTCACTATAGTTCAGATAACAACAGGACAACTGATAGGTTTGACCATGCTTTGCTGCAGCAGAACTCCTTATTCCTTGAAGCAGAACTCAGTATTTGAATAACGATCAGAGTGATGATAGCTATTCCACTTGCATCCGATAGGCAAACCATATTGAAAAGTAAACAAGATATAACACAATCAGCTAAAGAACAATATTTTTTAAGTGAAGGAAGCTAATTTAAATAATAATAACACTTGAAAAATCAAAGAAGCTCATTTATTACCTCAAGGGATGTTCGTTACTAATACTTAGCTAAAGCTTTTGAAGAAGAGGGCCCAAGCAACATAAAGTTGATTCGCCAAGTGATCATACCATCGGAAAAATTTGTATCTCCATGCTCTAATGAGGAAGAGAGAAGCACAAGCTCCCCAAAAACCTGCTGCAAATCCAACCCCCATACCACGATACAATGACTTTAGAAAGCCGTCATCTTCATCTCCTTCAGCTAGCTTTGAGTCATGAGTTTCTTCTTTATTATTGCACTTATTTGGAAGAGGATCTCCACAAAGTTCAGGATTGCCAACAAAACTCCAAGAATCAAAAGTTTGAATTTGGGTTCCCAATGGAATTTGTCCAACGAAATTGTTGTATGAGAGGTTCAAATAATCAAGAAAAGACAAATTGGATATTGTTGAAGGAATTTCTCCAGAAAGTTTGTTGTAGCTAAGATCAAGAGATTCCAATTTCATACCTCCAATTTCTTTGGGAATTTTCCCAGTCAAATAGTTTCGAGACAAATTCAAGGACTGTATTTGACTGTTACTAATTAGTTCTTCAGGAATTTCTCCACTCAAACTATTAGCAGAAAAATCAATAACACCACCGTAGAATATAGAAGACGGTCAAATGTTTGGTAGTCAAATTCTCTTCCTTTCATAAATATTTTCAAGATTTCATTAGGCAACGTTGCCACAGAATCTGGAGGCGTCATGTTGAATAGGCAATGAGGTATGGATCCTGAAAGCTTATTTTCAGCCAGATCAAGTATTGTCAAATGAGAAAGGTTGCATAATTTTGATGGAATACTGCCCACAAATTGATTGGCCCTCAATTTAATAACTACCAAATATTGCGCCACTGGATTTGGCAAACTTCCAGAAAATTTATTTTTCTCTAAAATGAGGTATTCCAAATAGGTCCAATTTAGCATGTTTGACGAAAATTTTCCAAAGAAACTATTATCACCCAAATCCAACAAACGAAGATTCAATGAAGCCAATGAGGGAGGAACTTCACCTATCAGCTTATTACTCCCTAAATTAAGTAAATATAATTGTTTCCAATTGGCCAAGCAATCGGGAAGTGCTCCGCCCAAATGATTATATGATAAGTCCAAGTAACTCAACATGCTCTCTCCCTTGCTCTCTAGTTGGCACAATAATGAGAAAATAGATCCTGATAAAGAGTTGTGAGATGCATCAAAGTAAGAGATATTTGCTGATAGTGAGACGTTGGATATGTCATCACTAATCAAGTTGTTTGAGATATCAACATGAAATATTCCTACTACAAAGCTCCAAAATATACCTGCATCAATTTTTGAAATCCCAGATCTAGAAATATCTAGACTTCTTAAAGACCGTTGTGTGTATAGCCATGATGGAACATTATGACCTATGCTTGTGTTGCTCAAATCCAACTCCTCAAGTTGAAATGGTGGGACCCATTTAGGATCAAAGTCAAATTCAAAACTTGTTGAGCTTAAGTCCAATGATGTTAAATTTGAGAGATTGGCAAAATTCATTTCAGAAAGAACACCTATCCACGGATTGCCACTGATGTCTAAATGATATAATTTATGGAGTTGTCCCAAGGTTTCTGGAATATTGCCGTTCAATTGATTGTAGGACAAGTCTAAGTAGAACAAGGAAGAAATATTTCCAAGAGACGATGGAATTATGCCATGGAACAAATTGTGATAGATTTCCAAGTCTTGCAACTGTTCAAATTGGCCTAACCAATCTGGAATTGATCCTTCGAGATTATTATACCCTAAATCTAAATACTTGAGATTTTGAAGATTGAGCAAAGACTTCGGCAATTGTCCATAGAAATTGCAACCAAAAAGGTTAAGATTATAGATGTGATTGGTGATATTAAAAAATGAATCAAGTAATTTTGACTTCACCGTATAAAAGTTGTAAGAAAGATCAAGAACTTCAAGTGACGTAAAATTGGCACAATCGAGGGAAGGAAAATCTCTTAATCCACAACCACTCAAGTGTAACTCAGAGAGTGAAGGAAGCATGGCTATATGCTGGAGCCATTTGGTATCATTTCCAATATCACTGTCACTAAGGTTAAGATATTTTAAAGAAGAAAGTTGGGAAAGCCAGTGAAGGTCATTTATGACTAAATCATAATTATATGAAAAGTCAAGATAAAGCAGAGCAACAGAGAAACTTGCTGAGTTGGAAGGAAGTAACAAGTGATTGGTTGTGAAATTTGTGAGCATCAAAGGGAGGTTTGGAGATTTGGCATGGTGGCATACTCACAGTTTTCAAAGTCATTGTCGCTCAAGTCCAAGTGGTTGAGAAATTCAAGTTGAAGCACACACAGATTAATCTCACCTCCTAATGAATGATTGAAGAGAGAAAGCTCTGTGACTCTTCCGGTGATGTTGTGGCAGTGAACTCCCTCCCATAAACAGCAGTCTTTTTCAACACTCCAAGATGAGAGTTGGTTGGTTGGATCGACCACTCCTTGTTTGAAGATGAAAAGCAAACTTTGATCATTTTCATCGCAACTGATCACCCTGTTGAATGTTGTTGCAAATAACAGAAACAAGAAAAGAAAAGATATTTGTGAAGCGAAGCTCGCCATTGTGGTAAGTGAGTTCGAGTATGATGGCCTCAATGAAGTCTTTACATTTTATATGTGTGTGTGTGTGAATGTTTATAGACACACGCGCGTATATAGGAAAATCTAAAGTAAACAAAAACTTAAATGCCTTAAAAAATTGATAACCACATGATATTTCTTATTATCAAGTCTACTAATATCTTTAAGTCTTCCCGTCTTTTCAATACAAAATCGTGTCATGAATAAGAAAATACCACAGATATAATATATGACATATTTAGATCCTTTTAAAGTTAGCAGGCGTTAGGGAAAAACTGGAGAAAATTATGCGCAAAAATATTGAAGGCTAATAGCTCAATGATTTTATTTTATTTTAAAATGTTTGAAAACAAAACAAATCCTACATGGGCTCCACATGGAGATTAAAGAATCATCATCACTATTTTATGACTTATAAATAAAATAACTTATGACAAATTTTGCATTTTATATTATTATTAATTATAAAAGGAGTATAAGGAGTATACAAACACGCACTCACGTAATGAACTCAAAGTGAATTAATTTTATTTATTTTTGTTTTAGTCCAGAAGTGAATAAATTAATTCAGATAATCAAAATTTGAATAAATATTTTGCTCTGAAGTTTGATTTTCTTGGATAAAAAATTCGACAAAATTTTAGTATGACCGGAAAATAATAAACCTTTTCTTATAAAATTTAATATAACCCAAAAAAATCATAATAATTCCGTTCGGACTCCAACTTTTCCTTTTTATTCTTTTTAGCTTCCTTTTTTTTTTTGCCGTAATTCTATTTAGCGTATTTATTGCTTGCTGATTACTCCTTTCCTTCCTGTTCACATGCCTTCCAAATACACGACACGTACATTCATAACAAAACTAAATGCCTTAGCTAAAATTTAATATAAATTCAGGCTTTAATAGGTTCAAAGAAAAATTGATCCTATATGCAAAATATTTGACTGGAGTCTAGATTTTATCATTTATGTTTTCTTGAACTGTGTTTAATTTGAATACATTATACTTCTCTGGTCCTTAATATAAGACTTAATTGTTGAGTTGATTTTGATCCTAAATATAAGACTTCTTTTTTATATTTATCCCTATGGATACTCCCTCAACCATAATCAAGTAAAAAGAGAAGAAAAAATTTTAAGAAAGATGATTATAGTGTTTTAGAAAAAATATGTTATATTTTTTATAATTAACTAACTTACTTAACTTCTTTAATCTAATTCAATTAGCTAAATAGATCTTATATTAAGGACCGGAGGAGTATAATGTAGGTTTGCATGAAAAATTACTGTAGAAAGTTTGCATTCATTCATTATCTTTACTCCAAACACACCACAAAATCAGAGCTCTAAAATTCGAATTACATTGTACGTTGAAATAACAAAGCAAATGAAATTTTCAAAATGAACCTGTCATCATGATTTATTTGAGCAGAATTAATTCAATTAAGTCTTTAGTTAGATTACATGGTCACGAAGTACATATATAAGTTGTGAAAAATGAAAACCATTACAAATAAATTGTTTATGAGAAAATATTGAAAAAAATAAAAATGGATAAAAAAATCTATAACCACTTTTTTTTTTTATGGTCAAGTCTTCTAATACTTTCAAGTATTCCCATCTTTTAAAAAAAAAACTTAGAATATTAATACATCCATTTTCATATCATTTTCCATTCATATTCAATTTCCGCAACCAAATTTTTGAACACTTCAAAGATAAAAGTCCCTTAAGCAATAAATTAAACAATTTTTTCATCCAATTAGGGGTTTCATCGAATACAACTTTGAGCCTTTAAAATAAGAAAAATATCCTATGAATTATTATTTAGACCTTTTATGATCAATTCATACCATAACAACATGACATGTGGCGTTACAGAAAAACTGCACACAATCATATAAATCTTTAAACAATTGTTTTGGGGATGTTTTTAATTTCGAACTAGAGTGTTTGCAAATAATTCACACATAAAGCAATTTTTTTTAATTTTAGCTATAAAATGATCAAATTAATGTATTCTCTATACCTTGATTTCAGCTATATATATAAATATATATAATATCTTGAAATAAATATTTGTTTTTGCATCATAAAGTCTGTTTTAAGTAGAAAGTTTTAGGAGCTAAGACGCGGATAGAAAATTTGCAAATCTTTGAGTGTGACCTAAAATTTAAGTTTACGTCTACTTTTCAAAAAAAAAATTGCATATAACTTTTCAAAACATCAAAGATTTAAAAAAATACAACCGAGAAGACACAATTAGATTAGAAGGTCAACCAGTATGGTTGGGTTTAGCGGAAAAGATTAGTCTTTCATAATGTGACAAACTAATATTTAAATCTCCACTGACAGAATGTCTATATTTAGTGCCAAACTGTGCCTTAAATAGAATTATCTCTAATAAGAGGATACTTATGCATAAAAAAAACAGATTGTAGGTTCAGATTGATAAATTTAAAATGTTTACATTATGACAAATGGTGAGATTAAGTATTTTGGAATTTTTAATGAAATATTCTTGACGATATTAAAAATTGGACTATAGAGTGTTTCTTTTGAAAATAGAGGTGACCTTTAGTAAATTAGAGAAAGGATGTCATTATTTTTATTTTTTTCATGAAACAAGGATATCTCTAAGTCATATTAGATTTGAGACTAATTCCTTTTGGGCCTAAAGAGGTTAAGGAATAGCTCTCTCAACAAGTACGCTTCCCGGGATTTGAGCTTGTATTCTTTTTCTTACAGAGGTGAGACTGTTACCACCTCAACCAACAGCTTGTTAGTAATGTTATTGTATTTTACTTTTATTTAACTTTTTTCCCGGTAAAAAAGGTGATTGAAAAATTAAAAAACAAAAGAAATTATGTGACATGTTGAAGAGATTGCCTTGTCCACATAATGCTTTTAAAAGTCTTCGCTTCAAATTATACTCAGTTTCAGTCCTTTACTCATTAATAATTTCACCGGAGCTTTCACTCTTATCATCTCTTTCAATTTTCTTTGGCAAAAGATTTTTTTATAATCTCTTATCATCTATCATATATTCCGATCCTTCTAAAGTTAGTAGGTGTTAGGGAAAAACTGAAGACAATTATGTATGAAAATATTGAAGGCCAATGGCTCGGTATTTTTTTTATTTTAAAAATGTTTGCAAACAAAAAAATCCTATATGGGCTCCATGAGTGGCATGCAACTTAATAGAATAATCAATACTATTTTATGACTTAAAAATAAAATAAATCATTATAAATTTTGTTTTTAATTAATGAAGGAGTACACTTACCCAAGTATTGAGTCAGAGTGAACTAATTTATACTCTATGCATAAAGTGATAGGCTGTTATCTGGGGCAAAGACGTGGGAAAGAGAGCCGGAAGACCTGAAAAGGTTGAAAGAATTTTGTTCAATGGGGATTAAGAAAATAACAAGGGTTAAGATATTATTTTAACTCTGATCTTATTTCTTAGTTACAATTTTAACTTTAATCTTTTTAATGGTAAAGTTTTGACTTTGATTTTTTTGGGGTGCAGTTTTGATCCTGATGGGTAAAATTGCACTGAAAAATCAAAAGTAAAACTACACCCGAAAAAATCAAGAATAAAATTGTATTTGAAAAATAAGATTAAGGGCAAAATTACTTTACTAAAAGATTAGAGACAAAATTGCACATAAAAAATAAGATCATGGTCAAAATTGTACTTGAACCCAAAAACAATAAAAAGAGTAAGCTATACAAATATTTTTTATTTATCTAAAATATCCTCTTTAATTATTTGTAATCGGAGCTACTTCTATATCTTGCCCTAATTTAATATGTGCAATAAATATGTATGGTTTGAGGATCAATTATAAATTTAAAAAATAAAATAAATTAGAGTTTTATATTTACAATCAAAACGAACATCTCAATAAGCTTCTGTATTAAAAACCGAATGGAGTAATATTATAAAGTTTAAGGTAGCTCCAAAAAATCTTTCAAACTAAATTTATGTTAATTTTTGCTGTAAGTTTTATTAATTTCGGGTGCTTAGCTTTGTTTCCAAACAATGGTCATGCTATAATTTCAATAAGATATTAATTATTTACTTGACAACTTTATCCTTCAATAAGGAGAGATGGAAAAAGAAAAAGACGTTACAGTGTAAAATATTACATGGGTGAAATTAAACGGAGAAAATATCACATGCATGTATTTAACACCGCGGCATGCATGGATTGTGAGAGATATTTATTATTGCGTGGTGACGCTCAGGAATGGGTATACCTTGCCGCGGCAATCGATGGTGGTGATTGATTTGAAATTGAGGATTTTTTTCCAATTACTTTGATGACGAATGATTCTTATTTCTTCTAATTTTTAACATAAAAGCTACTTAACTAATTTTATATAGCTTAAAAAAAAGATAAATTAGTTAATTTTTAGAAATGTGATGCAATCTCTCCGAAATAATCCTCTATAAAATTAGATTCTATATTAACTTATAAGTTAGATAAATTAGTTTTAAAAAAATAATATAGGAGACAAAATAAACTGAAATTTTATATTTTGAATTAAATTTAACCATTAACTAGCTCTTATATTAACAATAAGAAAGAGTATTAATTAAAATCCATAAATTGAAGTACTCTTTCATCTTTGAAATATTCATTTAAATACTCAATTGCCAAGAACACTACTTCCTCCGTTGTTTATTATAAGAGACAATTAACCAAAACCCATTGAACAGAAAATTAGTTAAAATTGGTTAAAAATAATAAATAAGCAAAAAATGTGATTTAATTATTTTTTTAAAAATATCTTCAAACTGTCTCTTATAAAAAGAAACATGCCCTTTCTCAGGGAATTGTTTTTTATAAATAGAAATGGAAAGTTGAATAATTATATAAATTGTTTGTGTCATTTAGATTTTGCTGTTAATTATATAAATTCGAGCGCGGATGATGGGTGGGGTAGAAGCAATGAATGGAAGAGAATAATTG